GCTACAAGTAAATGAAGAAACAATACCACAAACAATGGAAGAGGCTCTTGAGGGAGAAAATAGTTATTGGTGGACTAAAGCTATGCTAGCCGAATTTCGAGCTTTGTAAGTAAACATTAAAGTTAATATGTTACCTTAACTAATATTGTAAAAAAAAATAGTGTAATTTTTAACGATTTAATTTTACATAATAAAAACAATGAAGCAAAACGGAATATAGTGTGATTTTTAACAATTTAATAATTGTGTATTTAATTTTGTATAATAAAAACAATAAATATATATATAAAAATAATAAAATATTAAAATATTTTTATACCAAAATTTGTTGAAAAAATAACCATGAAAACAGATTTTCCAATAATAACATGGTGCTCGACTTATAGTACAATATAAAAAAAAAAAATATCCTTATATGAAGTCGTGCGGAAATACATCGATTATTTTTATCCTGATGATGTATCGATTTTATATGGTACAAGTGCAGTCGCGATTAATAACAACACAAAGCAAGCAATGTGAAATATATACAAAACTCATTACGATCATTACGTTCAACATGAAAACACGGGAAAGCATAAAAAACACCGCAGACTGAAGCTTGATAAAAAGGAGCGTGTTAAAGTTAAAGAATAAAATTTACGTTGAGTGCGGAATACATGGGCAATAAAGCGGTGCCGCAGTGATCAGAAGATGGTGGTGCAAAAATAATAGGTATGAGATGTAACCTATATTATATTATATATATTACATAAAAATATTATATATATTATAAAAAATAATAAGAAAAAAAAAACCAAATAACACAAATATAAACTAAAAAATAATCATATTTTGCAGTAATTTGCTAAAAAATTAATTTCATTTTTTTAAATAAATTTATTCTATATTTATATTAATATATATTGTAAAAATTGTAATTTCTTTGAATAACTTGCATTCAAAAAAAATGTGTGGCACCAAGGCCAAATTTAATAGGCCACAGGCCAATGCAATAAATGAAGTTGATATAACGGAAGTTCAACAAAATATTACCATGTATCTTGTTACGTTCAACCATCTTTGGATATTTTTCATGTGTGCGGAGTTAAGGTCTGGCACGGTGGCGAAGCCAGCTAGCTCGTCAGAAAATGGGGGGGGTCATTTACTCCGCTATAACACATTCGAACAGTAACAAAAAAATAAAAAAAAACAATCGTGCCAGAGAATATTGTTCAAAACAACAAAACAATTGCAATAAATGTGATCAAAGTAGATCACCAAAAAAAACAATAACAAAAAAAATAAAAAAACTATTTCCTTGTAATAATGAGTCTACCAGTATTAGTCCGTATTGTCCCTGTCCTGTCTAACTCATTTTTATTTTTACTTCAATCTGACATTGCCCCCTTCTTCACTTACACCCGTCACCTATATCTCTTAACCTTAAGCCATCATTTGTTCTTTTATGACATGCTTAAACAAAAAAAAAAAAAAAACAACCAATTTGTATTATATAATTACTATATTTATCGTCTAATCAAAACAAAATAATGTGAATTAAAATTAAATAAAATTAAATTTACATATTTTTTACGTTTAGTTTATTACAAGAAAAAAATTTTTAAATGCTAGAAATAATAAACAAAATAAAAAAATAATTTGAAGTAGAAGATAGACAATTTATATTAGCTAGAAAAAAAAAATTGATAATAATGGAATAAATCTTATATATATATACACTTTAATTTTTGTTTAAATAGAAAGAAAGGTGTAATATGTATGTATACCTGCATCCACACACAAAAAATAAAATTGCAAAAGAAATCAAAAGAAAAAAAAAACAAAGAGAAGTATTATCTGTAACACTCTTTAAATGCGTTACTCTTACACACAGGTTCGTTGACTCCTCGTTGATGACGTCACCAGCAAGATCACCTGCAAATAGAAACAAACTAATCCCTTTATTTCTTTTTCCCTCTTGCACTCTTAAAGACCTTAACAGTAGATAATCACTGCCTTTATACATACATATCTATTACAATTTCAAATTAAGTTTACAAAAAAAAAAATTATTTGAACTGGAATATGCAAAAGAAAAGAATATCAAAAAAATCATTCTAAAAATAAATAAATTAGTTATAGAATTATTTCGGATTCAAATATTAACTACATGGAATGTTAAAAACTTAATGTTAATAAGAAACTTGTGAAAATTATATTATAGAAAAACATTATAGGTATATAACAGGTATATTAATATTATTTAAATAGTATATTAATATTATTTCTTTTTTTTTTTTTTTTTTTTTATTAATTCGCCACTTAGCTGTTGTTGTAGTTGACCCTTAAATTCAGGCTTGTGTGCTTCTTCTTTTGTTTCTTCCTCTTCTAAACGTAATTTCTTATTATTCACTGTTGTTGACTCTTGGTGTTGGTATTGTGGTTGTTGTTGTGGAGAGATTGTTGCACCGCGGTAATGAAATTATAACAATCGTTGTTCAATACTTGATGTATAAGTTTTATGTGATTTTTATTTAATTTTTAATAAATAATTTCACTAAATTTTAATTTAATTTTTTTTTTATTATTATTTTTTGATCAAATTTTAGTTATTTACATAATAAACTTTAAAAAATGTAAATTATTTTTGTTGAGTTCTTGCAAACAAATATAGAAATGTTTTATTTTCATGTAAATATTTGTTTTTTTTTTCTTTTAAAATTTTATTTACATATGTTTAGTTAGCATTTATTTTTCTTTTAATAGTTTCATGACAAATGTACGCACGCTTTTTACATTGAATTTTCAAATTCCAAACTGAAAAGTATCTTCCGCACCGAACTGACATTCGAACCTCAACACACAACGCATGTCTTGTTACTTTTGTTGATACCACTTAATATTTTAATGAATTTATATCACATAATTATTAATTATCATAATTTATAGCTTTCAATTTCAGATATTCAGATATTTCAGATATTTTTTTTCTTGTTTTTATTTATTTTTAATTTTAAATATTCACTTTAATATATTCACTCATAATAGCTAACTTTAATATTAACTATTAGCTAATATACAAGGTGAGATGAAAAAACTGCAACCAACTTCAGACTGCTGTCATTTCTAAACCGCTCGTCCCACAGCTGTCAGATTTATTCCAGTGACAGCTCATTATATTGTTTACAAGCGCACAAAAGCATTTTGGTGGGAATTTTTCAGAAAAAAAGTTATTTGTGATGGAATTCAAGCGTGATAGTGTGATTGCTTTGCATTTGGCTGGAAAACCACAAGTGGCTATCGTTAGAGCCCTCCAGCATTTAAAAGTGAATAAATCTTTTGTGTCTCGTACCATCGCTCGTTACCATGGTACTGGTAGCGTAGCCCGACGTCAAGGAAGTGGACGAAAAAAAACAGCAACATCGGCAGAAATGGTTCGAAAAGTGAAAAAGCGAATTGAACGAAATCCGCGTCGCAGTGGACGAAAAATGGCTCGTGAGCTGAACATATCGCAATATGCCATTCGGCAAATATTGAAAAATGAGCTTGGACTAAAGCCATTCAAGTTCCAAAAAGTGCAAGATCTTACTGATGCGCAAAAAAAAGTTAGACTCGAAAAAGCTAAAGAGTTGTTTCGCTTGGCCGAAAGTGGTGAACTGCCGAATTTGGTTTTCTCCGATGAGAAACCATTCGTTATCCAGCAGTTTGTAAACAAACAAAATGATCGTGTTTACTTGCCAGAGAGGTCAGCTGAAAATTTGCAACTTCGGTTGGCCATCACAACTCAAAAGCCGGCCATGGTGATGGTGTGGGCCGCCATAACAGCCGATGGTCGCTCGCCGCTCGTATTCATCGACCGTGGTGTCAAATTAAATGCGCAAATCTATCGCGAAAATATTTTGGAGGGAGTTCTGAAGCCCTGGGCACGCAAACATTTCGGCCGCAGACCTTGGACATTCCAACAGGACTCAGCACCATCGCACTCAGCACGCGCCATCCAAGAATGGTTAAGAAATGAGGTTCCTCGCTTCATTTCCACCGCACAATGGCCACCAAAATCTCCGGATGCCAATCCGTTGGACTATTGTGCCTGGGGTATTTTGGAAAGCAAGGTTGGAACTAAAAAATACCAAAGTGTCGATCATCTCAAGCAAGCGCTTCGCCGAGAATGGGACAAAATACCGCAGAGCCACTTTCGGGCCAAAGGTGGCCAATTCGAACAAATCTAAACCGATTCTCAAATTTGATGTTATTTCCGACATTTTTTGCTTTCATTCAATAAAATTTAAAAAAAATGAAAAAATTTATGGCGTTTTACTTTGTTGCAGTTTTTTCATCTCACCTTGTATAT